CTGCAGTATCTCAGGCGAACAGAGCTGTAACTTTTAATGACTTCTTGAAGCCAGGTCATAGTTTTATCGTTATCTCCATCTCTGAATATACGGGAGTATCATTCCATTCCTCTCTCAAAGGGTGTTACCCTGTTTTCTCCCAGACTGTAGAAATTGCTTAATGGTTGGGATTGGTGTGTCCTTGGTGTTTATTTTAGTCATTGTAGACATAAATGCTTTTTACCCTTATTATTTGTATGCTATTTGACTACTGGCAAGTGAATTTGCAGCATTTAAGCTAATACTTATTAATGACAGGAGCACAGTCTGACCTACTTTCCTGTGCATTACCAGCAGTGAATACAACCCCTTGGAAGAAAAATGAGAAAACTGCCAGAAAGACTGGTATAAATGGTTCGCAGAAGACCATGTGATCAAATCCTATTGAATAATATAGCAAATAATATAGCTGCATCTACTGAAAAATATCAAATTTGCTTTAAATAAATACATGATGTGCGCTGTTCAGAAGGTGGGGAAAATAGCAAATGTTTCTTTGATCAAATCCAAGATTAGAGGGCTTTTTTCATATTAGAAAACTATTTTCCATGCACTTAAATACTGTGATTTTAGAATTATAAGCATCTTGTGGTTACCGTAGGAAGTCTTTGTATCGTGGTCATTCTACAAATAGAGAAATTTTAATTTTTAAGAGAAATTTAAGAGAGTGTTTGATTTGTAAGGGTTTTTTTTTTTTTTTTTTTTTTTTTCCCCCCGGGTCCCCCCTGCCATATTTTTGCAAAAAAAAAAAAAAAAAAAACAAAACCAACCCTACCCAAACTCCTTTATTTCCTCCCTGGTCCTGTGGTATTGCAGATGCCTGTCCATTGCTTTCCCCCACAGTATACCTCCTTCAGGGAGCCTTCGTCAAAGGTGATTTTGAAAGGTGTAAGCAGAAGGAGTAGTACTTCACTTCATGACAAGCTGCAGGTTATTGGATGTCTTGTGTATTCCTCTGTGTCACCTTCTGAGGTGATGTTTGTTAAGAAGTGCAGCCAGTCTCCTCGTAAACGCCAGCTGCAGTAAGTGTGGGTTAAAAAGATTGAAGATACTGGCCCCGCTCTTCAGCCTTGCCTCTTCTACTTTGGTCTCTTACAGTGGTTGCAACTCAGGAGCGTATGAAACAACTCTTGAGTTATGCTCAGGTGGTAAAAGAGATTAAAATGACAAGATGTATCCAAAAAAACCCTGGTTCCACTCTGCTGAGATTAACTGGACATCTTTGGGCACTTAATTATGTTTTAGCCTTCATGGTCTGCAGCTCCTGACTGTCAGAAACATTTGGCTTCCAAGCTAGATACCGCAAAAGCTGAAGAGATTGTCCACCGAGCAGGTGCAGGCTCTGAAGAGTGCATTTTTTCCCGGAGGAGGACAGAATTTTGAAAAGCTGTAGGCTTGCAGTCAGGTAGAAATTGCTAAATTTGGCTTTATTACTTGTATTGGTCCTTTACTTACAGACGTGTGAAAAAGTTAAAAGTCTCAAACACATTGATTAATAAATTTTATCCAAGGCTAAGGGGGGGAAAAAGATGACAGCTGCTTTCACAGCAATATTCTGTGCCGTTCCCTTGTTAGGAGAGAAAAATACCACAGATCATTGTGAAAGATTGGTTACGTAGGTTTTAGTTTGAAACTGGTGATTCTGTACTTGGCTATGGCTTTTTAATTAGCGGGTTCTATCAAACCTAGCATTTCTGAATGCCTGGAGAAACTGAGCCTTCTCCTACTGATTTCATATGAGAGAAAGATTTACTTACAAAGAACAAGATATTTAGGTAAGCTTTAACATTTATTTTTAAGTGTAAATACACTGAAATTTGTACAGAGTGTAATTTGGTTGCTTCCTTCACAGGGTTATATCTAATAAAGCAGGCTGAATCCCTGTCCTCACCACTGCTAATCTGCTAAATCAGCCTATGGCTGATAGAATATTCAACATAGCGTCAATGTAAGACCACCTAACCTTAGCTATTCACTATATTTTTAGGCTTGCAGTCAGGTAGAAATTACTAAATTTGGCTTTATTACTTGTATTGGTCCTTTACTTACAGACGTGTGAAAAAGTTAAAAGTCTCAAACACATTGATTAATAAATTTTATCCAAGGCTAAGGGGGGGAAAAAGATGACAGCTGCTTTCACAGCAATATTCTGTGCCGTTCCCTTGTTAGGAGAGAAAAATACCACAGATCATTGTGAAAGATTGGTTACGTAGGTTTTAGTTTGAAACTGGTGATTCTGTACTTGGCTATGGCTTTTTAATTAGCGGGTTCTATCAAACCTAGCATTTCTGAATGCCTGGAGAAACTGAGCCTTCTCCTACTGATTTCATATGAGAGAAAGATTTACTTACAAAGAACAAGATATTTAGGTAAGCTTTAACATTTATTTTTAAGTGTAAATACACTGAAATTTGTACAGAGTGTAATTTGGTTGCTTCCTTCACAGGGTTATATCTAATAAAGCAGGCTGAATCCCTGTCCTCACCACTGCTAATCTGCTAAATCAGCCTATGGCTGATAAAACAGAATATTCAACATAGCGTCAATGTAAGACCACCTAACATTAGCTATTCACTATATTTTTAAAGTTCTTTAGGCTCTTTGTCTTACACTAAGAGAATTTCAATTCTTCTGCAGAAGACCTCCCATTTCTGCATTAATTATTTGCACTGATAATGTCCAACCACTGTTTCCATCACCATAATATTTAAGCTAACACTTTAATGATTACAAATAGATTTTAGAAAAAATAAGTAATTTAATTATAATTTTTCACCTGGAAGGTGCTAGCAAATGAGACAATATATACCTTCCAAGAAGACCAGCAAAACTTCTGCACACCTTGCTGGCCAAGTGGAGAAAGAAAATCTGAATTTGAGTAGTGGCTAGTTTGTCTTAATCTGAGAGCTCCAGCACTTTTAAATTACACATCAGCTCTAAAGTTGTCTTTTGTTTTTTCTGGTGGATGACTGTTCACTTACAATTGTACAGTTCTTGTGCGTTACTGTACTGCACCACCTCTGCTCCTCAGAGTCAAATGTGTATGCATGTTCCCTCAGCTTCTCTCTAGCAGTTGTCTAGATGGACATTTAGCTTATCAAGCTCTAAAGATTTCTCTTAGCTGAACTAGAAGACTGAGGACAGAACAGTTTTCTTTATAGTGGCTTATGCAACTTCTGTGGTGTCTTTCTGATACTTGTGAAGAACTTTGTAAGCATGGTTATTTACTGTTTTTCCCTTGGGTAAGGTAGATGCTCATATTGCTAGAGCTAGAGTCAAATCTCCATTTTAATAGACCTATGTTATAATTATAGAGCTGTGGAATAATTCATGTTTGGGAGGACCTTGGCTCACCTAGTCCAATCTTCTAATCAAAGCAGGATTAGGTGTGAGGCCAGACCAGGTTGTTTAGGGTTTTATTTGGTTAAGTCTTGAAAAGATCCAGAGGTGGAGACAGTACAACATGTCTGGGCAGCTTGCTCCACTGGTGGACTGTTCCCATGGTGGAAAAGTTTTTCCTTGTGTCAGATCTGATCCTATAATTTCAACTTATACGTACTGGCCTTTGTCCTCCCACCCTGCGCCATTATGAAGAGCCCAGCTCCACCTCCTCGATGCCTCCCTGGAGGTCCTATTAGGTCCTTCCAAAGCCATGCCTTCTCCAGGCTAAACAAGCCCTGGTTGTGCAGCCTCTGCTCAGAGGATGAGTGGTCTAGTCCCTACCAGCTTGGTCGCCCTCTGCTGGACTTGTGTCTTTGTTGTTCTGGGGGCCCAAAGTCCCACAACATTCTGGATATGGTCTAATGAGTGTTTGAGTAGAGGGGGATAATTCTTTCCCTTGATTGAAGAGTCCGTGCCCCTGCTAATGCAGCCCAGGAGGCTGGTGGCCCTCTCTGCTGCTCGGATGCTGCCCACCAGCACCCTCATGGCCTCTCCCACAGAGCTGCTCCATCCCAGCCTTCCCCAGGCTGTATCGTTGCAGGGGGTTGTTTCTTTGCAGGTACAGGACTTTGCCTTTGTCCTCACTGAATAAGGGTCCTGTTGGCCCATTCCTCCAGCCTGTCTGGGTCCCTCTGGATGACAGTCCTGCACACAAGCGTATCAGCTGGTGTCCCCGGGGTGGTGTCATCTGTGAACTTGATGAGTGTTCGCTCTTCCAGAGCATTAGCTCGCAGTTGTAGGTGCCAGTATATTACAGTTTGTAGACTGCTTAATTGGGATGGATAAATGTGTGGTGGAGTGGTTTGGGTGGAAAGGGAAGAGCACCACGAGGTTTTGATCGCTTGGGAGTTTCAGATCTCTCTGAGATGTCTGTTGTGGGGTGGTTTGGTTTTGTTTGGTTTTTTAAATAACGTGACCAAGAGTGGAATATAGGTGTAAGAAAAAGATTTATTCTCTTTCATAAATGCGGTGACTGATACGTGATACCTGTGTACTCCACTCCATGCCTGACACACTTGTGCTTTTCTCACACTCTTACTATCCCCAGATCCTGTAATCCATGGGCAATTTCTTAAAGGAAATGCAACTTTTGTCTACTTTCAATCTTTATGCCTTGGAGATCTGAGGTATCACTGAGTATTGCTGGCAAACCCAGACACCTCAGCCTCAAGAACAGAACGTATATAAACAGGAAAACCTGTACAACCAGTTAAAGAAATAGCTGTTCTTCAGAGGTGGCTTTTCTCAGGTTAAACTTGGGCAACTTCAGATAGATGGAGGTGCTAGTTCTCAGGAACTGAGGCCAGGAATGGGTGCCAAAAAACCTTATAAGCAACTGGCATTCTTTACCTATTCTTGCGATGAATGTACACAGCATAAAAGCTTGATAGTGTGTGGGCTTAAGCTTGTGTTGTTTGATGATTACTCTTCCCTCTTTGGTTGAAAAACAAACGTTTAAATTATTCAGTTACATCATTTGTTATTTAAACATCATTTTTACTCTTTCCTTTTTTCTCATTTTTTCAGTGACAATGACAAATATTGGAGAAAAAGGTAAGATAAGATTTTTTTTAGCTGTTTATAAGTGGAATTAATGTATGAGGGTAGTATAGTAGTTTACTAATAGAATTGACATACAGATCTAGCCTGTTTTAAATAAGTGTATTTTTGTGTTCCTCAGCTCCTTTTATTATCCTGTCGTTCATGAACATTGCTTTAGCCATTCCAAATAGTCATGAGAAAAATTAGAACTTTTTATTCTTTCTACTGGCTTTCTGAAGTGTCAACTAAAATAATCCTTATATTCTGTTTTTAAAAATTTTTGTTCATAACAAGGAAAGCTTTTGTAAAACCAGGACTTCGAAAGATGAGCAAGGTGTTTGTGCAAAGTACAAGATACTTAAACGGGAGGTGAATTTTTTCTGCAGTTTCTTTTTAGCCAGTGCCTTTGAAGAAACAAAATCCTTCAGATAGGCAACCTTTCCAGAAGAAAATAAAACTGCCTGATTAGCTGTCATTAGAGTCCCTACCCTGAGGCTGTAGCATTTTTAGATTACTTTTCCAGATTCTATTTTAATACTACAGCCACTACGTGGAAATGTGAAGTGTGCGGCTGTGGAGCTTTTGGAGGAAGGAGCTGGGGGTCAGAAGGCAAACTATATTCTTTTTACTTTGGGGTAATTCCAGCAGGTTTTATTAAGTCATTGATGACTCCCTCAATTAGAAAAAGTGTTTACCAATTAAGAAATACTTGCTTGAAAAACTTATTTCAGTTCAGTGATCTCTTCCCCCATATGAGGGCATAAGCATATCTGCAGACTTCAGCACCTGCAGACTTTGAAATAATTCAAGTTTCTTGTTGCTCCATAGTGGTGGTGTTGGGGAGATGAGTGTGTTGTGAGGCAGTGCTCACAACGCACATTAGAATTACCGTCAAAATGCATTGGGGAGCATTAAATTTCCTTACTTTTAGCTGCTCAAAGCCTTGGTGAGCTTCGGCTGTTCAGGAGAAATTTACCCTGGCTGTACGTCTACCCTAAGTGTTTTCAGGGGTGAAAACTGGGCAAATGGGGCTCAACTGTATTACAGGTTCCTGCAAATTTCCAGGCAACTCTAGCTATGGTAGCTATTTGTAAAGGGGTTGCCCTCAAGCAAGGGATGCACCATTTGGGGTTTTTTCTTTTCAGAAAAAGTGTAAAATAGACAGGTTTCTTTTTCTGTCTCAAGGGAATTGAGGTTCTTATGTTGGACTCCTAACACCCCCAGAGCCAGTGGAGCAGCTGGGTAGCCCAGGGTCTCCACTGCGGTGCAGGGAAACTGGTGGGTAGGTAACCTGGGAGAAGAACCTGGTCAGGACCTGGGCTAGGTGGGAGAACTGAGGTGCAAGAGCAAACAAGAAGAACTTGTCTTGTGCAGACTTCAAGGGAGAAACGTGGTATAATGTCTTTAGGCTAAAATTTTGTCTTCCACCAGTAGTGGTTTTTGTAGTATGAAAAAGGGATTTTCCTATCAGTCACAGTTACCGTTATTCTCACAACAGTAAAATATAGATGCGGATTAGTAAATGCGTAGCGTACAGAACTGATGTAACTTGCCCTACATTGCCCTCGCTTTATGCCATGAATATACCATTGTTTAAAAAAATACTGATTTTGTTTGAGTTAATCAGGTTTTTTTAGAGTTGACAGAAATGTTCTGATAAAAAGGTGGACTGTTCCTGCCAGTTGCTTGTGCGATAACAAGATGGTCATTTAGTGCGTTGTGCTTGATGTGGAGTCCAGTTCTACCACTTACTTATACTGATGAGATTTTTTTCAGTTTATAGACATGGCATATGGCTCTTTTCCTGTGTCATCTCAAAAGCTTTGTTGCTCCTCAGCTTTTGTTAGCTTTTGTTTATTATTTTTAACTGTCTAGTGAGTAAGAACAAATACTTTCCTGCTTTTTTGAGTCAACAAACTTCAACAGAAACATGTATTCAGTATTACTTTTTGAGGCAAAATTACAAAAAACAAGGACATGCTGGGCTACTGTTCCTGCATTTATACACACCGTCATGCATGTGTTGTGGAAAATTCTCTAACACTGAATAGCATTACATATATAAAAACATGGGCTAACTATATGAGGGCAATATTTGAGATGTTGTAGTGAAAGTACATGTTTCCCTTTTATGGTGATTTTGACAATCTTATGGATTTATAGAAGTTGTATAAAGACTATTTGACCATGTAGCTTCCATATAACCTTGAGCTCTCTGTGATCTGAGTTCATCTGTACAGCAAGGAAATAATATCTTTCACTGTTGCTGTCCTAGCTGTCCTTTATTTGCTGCTTCTCTGCCCATGGAAGAAAAATCCAAGGAAATGCTTTCTTGTGTGTTAGAGCAAGTTAATGAGGGGAAACAAGTTTTGGATTTACTGTTTTCTGTAGCGAATTCTTAGTACAGTGAGAGCTTTTAAATGAAAACACCTGTCCATCCATGGTAGGCTCTTCGGAAAAGTTAATGTTCCCTTCTGTATTCTAGTAAAATAACTCAGCATGGTAAATGTTGACTGGCATCTATTAAAAAAAAAAAAACCAACAACCTAAGAGTAAATCACTGGCTGTGAAGAATATAAAATAGTGATGAACATTTGAATTTAAAGAACTTTCAAGTTTTTAAAAACCACCCTGCTGTCCTCCCTCCTAAAAATCCAGCAAAACAAATTAACTGGTTATGGTTAGTTCTCGGGTACCATATGCATATCCACGCAAAGACTCCCCTCACTCTAGTCATTATGTAGGTAGCTGTACTTCTTTGGGGGGGAGGGGGGGTTGGGGATTTTTGGTTTTGGGATTGTTTTGGGGGGGTTTATAAAGCTGAAAAGCAGAGACGCATCAGTGAAATAGGATTTAACAAATGTGTAAAGAGAGAGTGCTTGCTAAATAATGATGGGGCTCTAATAGGCTATTAACCATTCCCCTCAAACTTTTGTAATATATGTAGCCTGTATCGTGACTTTCCCCGCACAGTCTGTTTTTGTCTCATGTAAAGTTGCAGTGCAGTATTTTTGTTGCAAAGCTTTTGCAGGGCCTATGTATTTACATCTGTTAGAGTAACTCTCTGTGATATGTACAGCATCCGTTTGTAAGTACTATAATATCACTGGTCTGTTTGTATTAATTCTGATCCTTCTTGATTTTAGTTGTGTGCCTGGTTGCTTACCACATATTTTTCATGCTGTTCGTCTGGTCATATTGGAAAACAATCTTTACGCTACCAATGAATCCTTCAAAAGAAGTAAGATAAACTTAACTTTTGTTTCTGAAATAGCCTAGTCAAATGCCTGATTCTGTAGTATTTGAATAACTTAGACTCTGATCTCATGTAGTTTTACACCATGTAGAAAAATACAGATGGTAGTTACAGCTTCTTAATAGGAGTAAGTCAGATTGCAAACAGTGTAATGGCCAAGAGAAAAAAAAATTACACCTTCTCTAAGTTTTAAAGGGTTTTTTTTTTAATAGATTTTTTAAAATGAGATAATATTTATGGTATTAAGAAGGAAAAAACCTCTCCACTTGAAAAATACGAGTTATTTGAACTAGCAGCTTAAATATTTGCATGGGTATATAATACTTTAGTGTGGGCAAAAGATTTATTTCCCTGTGTTTAAGACTTATATTGCCTGTCAGCATCTGCCTGTTGTCCTCTGAATTAAAGCTTCTTCCCCATCTGTTTTGGTATGAAGGAACTTGGGGGTTGTGGCGTGAGCATGGGACAGGTAAGCTGATGCTGGGGAGCCACGGGTCACTAAGCAGGAAGGGAGCTAATACAGAACAGCTGCATGGAAAAGAGGTCTGAGTACATATATACCCCACGTCTAAGTCCAGCTAGTACAGAAGTGTTAAAGAAGAAGCATCCAGTTGTCTTGGAGAATATTAAGATACAAAGCCATGTTCAACATGATGTAGACTCAAGATAATTGCTTTTAATACAGTATTGGGGTTTTTTTATTATTTTAACTTCACATTCTTTTTAACATTTGAAAAAAAAAAAAAAGCTAAAACTGTCAATAGCCTTGATGAAAATCCTCCACATGCAGCTTGGTACAACCAGCGCAGCTTGTGGGCCTCTTCCATCCTGTCTTTGTACAGAAACCCCACAGTCCTCAGTAGGTGCTAGGTCACACAAACTCTGAGGTCAAGAGGAATTGTGCTATGGCTGTTCTGGATGGAGTTCGAAATACCCTCAAAATCTATACTTATTTCGTCATGGACTCATAGCTTTAGGTCCTATAACTGCCATGCCAACACAAAATAAATAACTTGTGATTTCTACAGTCTGTTGTGCAGACATTCTTTTCTGAATAGATTCATTCACTAATAAGATAGGTAATTGTGGAAACAAGTAGATAATTCAGAGTAATTGGGATCTTCCTTGAATTTTGCGCTGCAGTCTTTACTACAGCGTGGGGCAGAGAGGAGCGAAATAAATTAAGAACCTATTTCATTTGGTAATTACATAGCAAAATATACGCATGTATATGGTGACTGTAGCGATAATTAGAAGGGTTTTCAAATCACTGGGCTGATGTCAATAAAAGAATTCCAAAACATTTTGACAAATCCTCAGTAATTATAGTTGGATTGCAAAGCCATCGTACAATGCTACTGGAGAACTTCAAATGGGATATTAAAAGTATTGAAGTTGGGTAATAGAAAGCAATGTGTGGTGTTTCTGTGTTCTTTGAATTTACACAATGTTGCTGGCAGTGACATCTTTGTTGTTCCGTGTCTTTTTCCTAATCTACTAGAGCAGTATTTTTAAAATTTAATTAGGGTGTTTTGTAATTTTACATTACTGCTTGGTTTCCAGTTTCTGGGATGAAGTCTGTAAATGTAAAAGGATGTATTTTCAATTTAACTGAACTGACTCATCAACTACGGCAAATACTCATTTGAAGACTGAAAAACAGATAAAGCTTTTGCATTTTGTTTTCATGAACACTGCAGCTGGCGCACGCCACACAGCCTGTACAATTCTTTTTAAACTTATTTCAGTATTTTACAAGTGTGAAAAGCACTAAAGTTCTGGCTGCAGTTTCTCTTTAAGAGACTTTGAGGGACTTCACTTCAGTGTGTCCCATTCTGTACCTGTGTGTACCAGCTATAGACAAGCATTGCATGAAGGTGGGAGAGAAGGTGGTTTCCCAGGCAGGAAGGTTTTGTAGACGTAGGGCTGCTCTGAGAACCAATACAAAGTGATGGAGCAATAGCTCTGTGTACATCAAACAGGAAGCATTAAAAAAAAAAAATTATTCTGAACCAAGTTTCTGCAGTGAGAAATCCTATGTATTCCAATATCAATCAGTTCATGTGTTGGCAGGAGTGTGTTCTTGCTAGGGAAAAAATGAAACATGACCTGAGAAACTCATGCCAAACAGTGAACCTCCAGCTTCTGCTGGAAGACTGCAAGCTTTGTCAGGAAGGTAGAGAGGTGCCTTCTCTATGGAGGTGAGAATAGACCCCTAACTGTATGTTTCTGTCTGCTTTCTGCATTTTACATGCATTACTTTCATCTAGGAAGAAAATTAGTATTATTGTAATGACTAGCCTTTCTGTAAACGTAAATGCTATGCAGAGGGCTTCTGTTTCTAGTACAGGTTAGAGATAGCCACTTATCCTGCCAAATACGGACCTCTTTTCAGAGGTGATTTTGCATCCTATTTCTCTTATAGAGATACCAAAGACTTTGGCCATTTCTAGAAGTTACAGCAACAAAGCTGACAATGTTCCTGTGTTGCAAAGGACTTCAAAGTATAAGAAATTTGGATTACTTAATGTATACCATGCATTTCTCTCAGTAATTTTTACCCTCTCAGCTCTTACGAGTGCAATGCTTGTTATTGCCACTGCCCAAAATGGCAGAAGTTGTCCTTCTGTTCTGGAAGATGTTAAGATGTGGTTATTCAGTCATGCAGGACACCCATCTCTTCCTTTGCTCAGCCAGTCTCTGAAGTAAAAACAAATCCTAACACCTGCATGAAGAGAACAGCAACTCTCCAGTGGCAAAGACTAAAAGGGAAAGTGGCAGACACCAGAAGAGAAATAAAGCGCTCTCTTCTGCTATTACTAGTAGTGGATTTTCTTTCAGTTAAAGACTGACATCCCTAGCTTATATTCACTAGCTAATATTTAGTACTATAGAAGTAAATTAACTGACCTTTCAAGGGAATGGTAAGCTCTTGATCCTCCTCTTGAAGAACGTTGCTTATTACTTCTGGAAGCATTCAGCATTGCATCAGTACCAAATCAGAAATAATTTTAATTTTGTCTTCAGTTGCCATAAACTAAATTAGTGGTCTTAGGAACACTGCGTTGTTTGCTGTAATACATTGTATGTGCTGCTAATCCATCTTTATATAAGGAATATTTATTTCTCTTTATGTCTCTACAGATACTTATTTAACTTGAAATTTGCTAACATACCTTTGATTTTAAAAATTATTCCAGTTTCATCTATCATACTCAGACAAGGAATCCCTAGAGAGAGAGCCTAGAGGTGAATCCCAGCAAGAAGTCTTAAGACGGGCAGCCAAGGATCTTCCTATCTATACACGGACAATGTCTGGAGGTAAATAGGTGTTCAGGAGACCACTGAAGGCAGGTGTCTTGATGTACTACCTAAACTAATTTAAAAAAATCTCAAGGGTTTGGTTTGTAGGGAAGAACTGCTTTTCATACTTCATAAAATAACAAAATGACCCAGGAATTTAACTTTAATGTAGCTTTAAGCAGCTACATTTGTTCAGTGGAAGGATTGTTGGAAAGTAAATTGCTGCATACAATTTAGGATTATAATGTGGATTGACAATGGCTTGCTGAATGTTTGCAAACTGACACTAACAAATAGTTTGTAATACTAACAAACTGCAGAAGAGGCTGTAGCAGTCTTTAACTGCATAGATATCTTCTTTCATAGGTTTTAAAAAAATAATTAATTGCCAGCTGCATGTCACATATAGCTTAATAGATCACAGTAAGAAACTCTTACTGTTTTACTTGCTGGTTGTTGAGTTGCAAGAACAAAAGTTCATCCAAACTAAGAGTTAATCTTAACCTACCGATACTGTGAGTTTGTGAATGCTGGCTAGCTAAGCAAATCCAAGAGAGAATCTCATATCAAAGCTGTTAGAATAATAGCTTAAAATAGCTATATTGTTGAACAGTCTTTAAAGGTTTTCCAGTCTAGTGAGGGTTTTGTGGGTTTTGTTGGTTCATTGGCTGTTTTGCAGAGCCGAGAGGTTTGGAAGAAAAAGCCCTGATTAACATGATTAGCAGAGATTGCAAAAACTGAGCTTTTTGGGTTCACTCGGCTAGATTCAGCATTGCAAGTACTTAAAGAACGCTTCAGTATTTGCAGCTGCTTCTGATCTTGCTGAAATGCTTTCCTGGGGGTTCTGCTGGGCTGAGCTGCTCATATTTACTTTTGCACAGACTTCAGGAATCAAAATGTGTAAATGTACATTGAGATCTAATCTTGGAACTTTTTTCTTTAGCAATCAGATACTGTGACAGATGCCATCTTGTAAAACCAGATCGTTGCCATCACTGTTCTGTATGCGACAAGTAAGAAAATACTTTAAATAAGTGGTTTTCTGAATAAATGGATTTATTTTTTTTTGACACAGAAGCTTTTAATTTTTATGCGTAGATTTTTCAGGTTTAGTGTCTTGGCAGAGAAGCTTTTTTATTACTTAGGTTTTTTTCAGGTTTAGTTTTTATTTATTTATAAGGAAGTCTGTAACTTACTCTAATGCATTTGATGGCTTTCTTGATGCCAACATGGATTATGTGGGCTTACACATTCTTTACATAATGATTAAAAATTACTAATATTAATAAAGAACTTTCCTTAAGAATGTAACCAAAAATAGCTGATAAACAAAAATTTGCTTCTTTTGTTAGAATCTGAATAAAGATCACTACCCATCTCAATCTAATCATGATGTCACTTACATCTTACCCGAGGTAATAAACTTAATATCCTATTTTTCATTGGATAACTTGCAGGTTAATTTTATTTAAAGAAAGAAACAACCAAGCATTCCCCATTTCTAATGGAAGGCGTAAAATAAAGTTTTTGTTTGTCTAACACAAAGTGAAGTTCACCTCCATATTCCCCAGAAGTCTAATTGCTTTATAATTTAATCTTCCTTTTGGCTGTTCTACTCTCTGATCATTCTCCAGTTAGCTTGGGTGTCTCTGTGTTTCTCCACTCTTGCCCCCAGTGATTTAAATTTTGAACTTTAAGAGAAGGGGCTTCCGCAAAGGTTGATTTATTCTTAGCTTTAAGGCTGTTCCAAATGCTTTTCAGCTGATAATACATCAAACCTTCCAATGTGACGGTGAGGCAGAGAAGTCTTTCCATTTTGCCCAGCAAAACAGCAGAGTCACTGAAAGAGTAACTGAGTTGAGGCAGGAGGAGGATCTTGGTTGTGTTGTATGGGATGGTGGTTGCAATGTAAAATAGGAACATTCTTGTGTCAGAGCAGGATAGGGAAAAAGGGTGACCTGTGTTATCCTATGAAATATGAGTGAAATTTGCAGAATGCCATGTAGTTAATTTATTTTACAGAATACCTTAATTTTGTCCTTACCTTGTCAAAATTCACTTGCTTCAATTATATCTGATTTTCTTGTGCATGTTTTATTATGGAGAGTGATCAGTTGCAAAAATGTTTGGGATTTTTTGTACAAGGTAAGTTCTTAAAAACCTCTTGTGCATCTGCATATATTTCTATAAAAGCAAATCATGTACTTGGAAATCTATTTAGTTGCATCACTAAGTATGTAATAATTGAATTAGCCCGGTTTCTAAGTCTCTGTGAGAGAATAAACAGTAGTTGAAAAACCTATTCAGAATAAGAACCAAATCCTAAAGCTGAGGTTATAGATTGCATTTTCTTAAAGTCACTAAGCCCTTGACAGAACAAGCATTTTGAGTTTCGGGTACCTACTGTTTACTTGTAGGTAAACTGTGTTATGAATTTAAATGTACATCTTTGTTAAATAATTGGGTAACCAATAGTACATATGGGTAATTCTTAATCTGTATGTGAATAATTTAAATCTGACATGTAACTGCACTTCTGATTTTTGTTTTTCTTTTGCCTTTTGCGATGCTTGGAATTCTGTTGGGGTTTTTTTAAGATGCATTTTGAAAATGGATCATCACTGCCCTTGGTGAGTGTACTATTGGCTTTCTTTTCTTACCTTCTGATTTGGTAAAATAAACTGTCGAGGGGCGTGTTATGAAGGTGGTGCTTCACTATTCCTAGAGTTAGATGCTTATGTGAAGTTACTGGTCTTGCAGGACCATTGGAGTTATTTACTGTATGTCGTCTTTTCCTAGTTGTGAGATGTTGTAAGAAGTTAATATATTATTTTTCTTAGACCTTTGAGTTGGGTAGCTCCATGTTTTTATAGTTAGGATGAGGTAGACTTCTGGTCAGTAAGAAAACTTCTTAAAAGGAATCGCATCTTCGTGGACTTTGACTATTACTGTGGCTTAGTTGCATTGAGCAGGCTTGCTGGAAACAGCAAATTAGCTCTTTTCGTTTTATGAGTTGTTTTCTTTAATTTTTTTTTTTTTTTTCTCCCCTCTCCTTCCCACCCTCCCTCCTTTTGCTGCCGTCTTGGCCTGCACAGTGGTTTTGTTTTCCTGTCTGTTCTCAGCAGCCCTTGGAACCGGTGGGTAGGCAGGATGTGTAATCAATTTTATGTTGGTTTGGCAGGTATCTCAAGGAAATAATTAAAGATAATTGTTTAGTAAGGTCCAGGTTAAGAGGACTGAGTGGTAGATGGCAGTTCTTCACCACATGAAACCGATCAAAAAAGAAGAATCTCCTGAGTTGGAGAAACTGAATGGTAGATGGTTCTAAGCAGCTGGTTTGACCTTCTTAAGTCAAACTCCTGGGCAGTGGAGACTCTGTCCTGGGGGAGGAAGGGGTGCTGGGCTTCTCCTGTTTGTCTTGGTCCCGACTACAGCCTCTGACATAATGCAACATGATTTAAGAATCTCCCCTTATTTTGCAGCTGCATGGTAGATACAATTGAAAGAAATATTTAACAATATAGGGTAGAGTTACTTCCTACGTATTTTTTTGGTGTAGGGATATCCGCATGTGAAACTTGACAACGCTTAGTGTTAGTAGTGTGCTTCTAAAAAAAGAAAACCAACCCACAAACATAAAATCATTGCATGTGGAACAAATTTCTTACAAGAAAAAAGGCTGTTCCCTTTTTTCAGCCTTCTTACAGCTGTCTTGTAGAAAGCTGTAAGAAAAACAGCTGTCAGGCTATTCCTGACAAAATACCAGTGAAAAGGTTCAATATTACTATTATTATTCAGTATTATGCACACTTCTCATAAGCTTTATGGTCTGTTTGGGATTTTTTGAGTTGTCCTGCCTTAGGATAGTACATGAAAACGTCCTTCATGTAAACTTCAATTTCAGAATAAAAATCCATTGCATCAAATAACAAATCGTAAACTGAGCATGTACGTGTTGTGTAAAGGGGCAGCAAAGTGGTATTTCACTAGGGCGTAGACTTCTAGAAAAATAAACTCCATTTTCCTCTCAGTAGCATTTGCTTATTTTACCTGTTTGCAGACTTTTCCAAATCCAAACAACATAAACATGCCCAGTTTGAGAGAGTGTTTACATTGCTTACGGGTTTTAATGTAATAAGCAATGGGTGCAAAAATTAAAAATAGAAATGGAGAAGGTACTTGAAAGATGTCTAATGCTTCCTGATGAAGAATTGTTCCCTTTGTACTCCAAGTAACAGAAATGCACTAGAAAAAGAGGTATTGTCCTGTTTTATTTTTCCTAAGTTGAGTGGATGTCCACAGTTCCTTGCTCACCCTGAAAAAATTAACTATGTGGAAGTGACAAGAGAGTTTTGAAATATCGCACAGACGCTGATCCAACTTTATCGTTGCCTTTAAAGATCCACGTTCAAGGGGTCTTTGGGGAACACCACATGGCTATGTTACCAACAAAAGTAAGTGTGCAAGTCAGTATAATGGATGGGGTTTAGCCTCCCTGGGAATATCATTAGGTCCTGCTTTGCTTTTTGTGTTGGGATTTTTTGGTGGGAAAAACCTGTGTGATGCTTAGGGAGAGCAAGGAAACAGTAATGAGAATGACTATTTTAATATTCCGCTAGGGGAAGGATTTCTGGAGAGAGGACAGGTAAAAGTAACCTAGGGAAAGTAAGATGAAGCATTTGGAAGGCAGAGGGAGTAAGACGGTAGCCATGTCCTAGCCCCAAGTCAGCTGTTTTCTGCTTTTTTGGGAGGCTTTATTTTGGCTGTCACTCCTGCGCTAATGGAAGTGCTGTGATAAACAGAAATACTTAATGCTAACTGCCCTCTGACTACTCCACAAGGTTTAAGTGATGCAGAAATAAGAGCAAAGTGATTAAATTAATTAAAGCATTAGTGATTTCTATCATAGTGCTCCTGCTACTCGTACTATAGACGGAGCTGCAGGCAGGGAATGGGTGGCTTTAGGGCCC